TTTTTTCCTGGGCTCACAATGAGTTGGTCTTGAATGAGGTTGTCTACAAGAAGCTTGACCATTTTGTATCTGGGTTCCATGACATCTGAATTTGATAAAAAATAATATATTTAAATATATATATATATATATATATATATATATATATATTTAAAGCTCAGACCAGGCCTTTAAGATGGCTATGAGGAAAAGGGCATTCATTGGATTCTCAAATTGAGAAATCTCTGTTATATTGAGTGACTTTTATATTGGAGTTAGTACATCTCTCATAGATTTTACTAAAAAAGGGCTGAATACATTATTTTGTTTTTACCAAGGAGGGCTTCTTTATGTAATAAGGTTTGTTTAATAACAGTTCCTATTATGAATCTTGAATGTTCCCAAACGTGACTAGAGGAATCTTGAAACCTTACTGATAGGTTTATTTCATTGTAAAGCATAAGCTTAAGAAACTGCGGCATGCAAGTGACCGATTCGATTCTCAGAATTATTCTAGTTTCAGTTGCGCCGAGCATTATGTAAGCTTAATTCAACCTGCTACATCTATTCTTTTATAAGATTTTGATCACGTAACGAATATCGCAATTTTTACTCACCACAAACTTTCAAAATCGTAGCTTTACAGATGGCCACTCGACCCTTGTTTGTACCAGTCCATATGTCAACTGTTGTCCCTTCTTTTAACTCCACGGCGCCAACGACTTTCCTTTCTTTTACAACACTCACGCTGTTCTCGTTTTCCCATTGAACCACAATAAAAGCTATCTTTAGAAATGTTATATTAAGCAAAACAGTTGAGAAAAACGATCAACCGATGAAAAGTACATTCAAAGATGAGCGCCAAATGGAGTCTTCTTTGTTTCCGATCACGGGTATGATCACGTGGATCTTTTAGGACTTGTCATTGGCTAGCAAAGTGAATCCGCTGGCTTGCCGATTGCATTGTTAAGAGAAGCGCACAACTTTACTCTGATTTCTCCGACCGGTTCTCCGCTTCAAGACGATGGATACCTTGGTGATATAAAATATAAATAATGATGGGAGCTCACTCTATGTAGAAATAATCGACAAGAATCGATCGTATTACAAATGCACGATTTGTGGCCGAAAGTTGTCGAGGAAACAAAGACTCGAAACTCACTTGAGTTGTGTTCATGGCAAAGGTGAGAAATAACACAAGCCAATCACAGTTTTGAATACGACTACAAATCGTCTTTTACCCTCATATTTATAAAAGAAGGATACCACATTAGGAAGTATAAGAGATACATAAATGATCCCAGTGTACCAGTACCTAAATCTACAAGGCTTGACCGTAGCAAGCGTTCAGCAACACGTTCCGACACCGCCATCTCGATTCCTCAGTCAGTCGTTTCCACTGAACTTAAAGCAGTAGTGACAACAGAGTAGAGTGCGTCTTACAAAGGAGAAACATTTGTACAAGAGACAGAAGTAACTATATGCGATTACAGAGGTACGTTGGAACATTGATCCACAAATAATTATGCACTGTCCGAAGTATAAAACAATTTTGTTGATAGCTGACAGACAGAGAAGAACAACAAGTAAACTTTAGAGCTGTTATTATTGAAGTGTGACTTGCACTTTTCATTTTTATATAAAGAAGGACTTGTATTTTGCACCAAAAATAAAACGATGTCATATTTTTTGGGAGATCTAGTGATTTAGATATTTAAGAAATTAAGTTATGAAAGGAAACTTGGTTGGTACTTCTCACTATTAACAAGTCTTATTGACAAATATTTTCTGATCAGAGTTTCAAGTAGAGTAAATTGAAGACGTCATTTTAAAGGTGTTTTTTCTCAAAGGGAACATTGACTACCTCTGTCTTGTCTGCATGCCAAATGTTTGCAAAGTGTGTGGATGATCCACAAGTATTGGAACTCTTACAGAAATGTTTTGTAAGAATAAAAACAGCAAAACAAATTACAGCAATTAGTCACGAAAACAGAGCAAAATACTGAAAAAAAAACAGCAACAACATTCATGAAAAAATAAAGATTAATTAGGTGTTGAATTTGTTTGTCTAAGGCATGAAATTTCTACTAAAAATATTGTCAACAAAAAGTCTCTGACAGTGTTTGAGGCAACTGAGCTTGACTGTTCCAAGGTTTTCTAACAAAGGGAACCAGTAATGTAGGTTAGGGAAGTAACTTATGTTCATAACTAACAAAGTTCTTTAAGTGTAGATAACAATGTAATTATTGTTAATTATTGTGGAAGTTGTGTACCATGGAACAGCTAATGAATGTTTGATGATTTTGGCACATCAGTGAACATGAGACATTAATTTGCATCACAATAAAAATTTTTTTTGGTCATGGAATCCAAGAGTCCTTTGAGGTTAGAAAGCAAATCTGTGATATGAGTACATTGGATTAATTGGCAATTTCCATTTAACATAACTGACAGCTGGTTCATGAGAAAATCCATATTAATGTAAAGATTTACTAAAACTTAGTTTGAATAATAAATTTCATGATCTTTAAGTTATAAACATATACATGTATGTATATCTCTTGGTAAGTTTTGTATAGCATACCTTTTATTGAGCCAAAGTTTTAAGCCTCTGAAATCACTCCTTTTCTTAAAACCTTCACATTCAAGGTATTGAGAATTTCTTAGAATTTATGTGGACCTCAGGGTATTAAAATTGCCTCAAATTCAATTCCCAGAAATTCCCAAGAGTTCCACACTTCTTAAATTATGGGTAGTTTGTAAAGCTAAGAATTCCTAGGAATTCCGAGGGATTCCAAGTCCTCACAAAACTGGAGTCTTCCTTTCCCAGAAATTCCTAATAATTCCAAGCTTTTGAAATCAGAGTTAATTTGCATAGTTGGGAATTTTTGAGAATTCCTAGGAATTCCTAGGAATTCCCAGAAAAATGGGAATTCAGTTCGCAAGGGTAATTCTTGTGACCTTTTTGCAATCTTTCTCTAGAAACTGTGCACACAGAATCTTATGCCTTGTAAAGAGATCCTAAAACCACGAGTGGCTAAGACAGAATTTCTCCTTACAATATAAATACAATATCAAGTAGAAAAGTGATGAGACTAAAGAAAAATATTAAATATGGGATTATAAGGAGATCCAGATTCTCCAAACTAACATCACCAGAATTGCATGGCACACACAAAGTATATTTATTAATGAAAAATTGTATTCAAACAACCAGAGAACATTACTTTTCAAATCTAATCTCAATATGACGCGTTTCGCGAATAACGAGGTCATCCTCATGACGTAAACAAAGATGGTTTACATTCCGTAACATTTTTATCCTTCTAAATCTCTTCATGACAGGATTTTAAACTAGGAATTAAACTTAAGTATATTGTTTACAGGATGCGGTCTTTTACTAAGGTATATGGAACTAGTAACAGAATATAATGTAAAAGGAGCATAGCTTCTGGTCTGTTTTTGTAAATATAACAGATTCAACAAATCTTCACGAATTGATTATTTCTTAAACCACTCGTCTTCAACCTAATTTTTAGATGCACTCCTAACATTCACGATTACAATTGCTCCCTGGCGGAAACATTAAAAGCGTTGTTAAATTATCCAACAAACAAGTTATGAGAGAAACAAACTTATCAAGTTGAACTCTTTAAGCCCCTTGATCAACATATAAATTCTCACATCTGGTCTCATCATATATCCTTAGAAAAAAAAATGTGAGTAAAACTTTAAAGTAGTCTCTTTTCTATGATCATTTCCTAGACTCTCATGATCTTCACTCGTAAGAATATTGTGAGGAGAAATGTGATACCATCAATCTTGGGATCTAAAGTGTTAACCATTATATAACGAGATGTATATTATAACAATAACATTGCAAAGGGCTTCACATAAACACATGATGGCACAACCACCATATTGACATATACCCAAACAACAGTATATTACGTGTAATTATGTACATGAAAAATTACGCGCTTCTGATTAGTTGAAAACGAGTGCATTCTCATGCTACACGGATGCAAAGTCGTAACACGAGTGCAAATTACAAATACCACGCGCACGCTTTCAAAATTTAGGTTGTCTCGATGTACATTATTAACAAGTAATAACGTGTTTTCTCGTGCAATGTGGTATAATAACCCCTTAAAAATATTTCAAAGACTACAGATGGCACTTGCTATACGGGCTCGTGGAATTTTGTCGTCTTTAAAAAAGTTACTCGTGTTTATTAAAACCAAATTACATGTTGTTACCTATACTAATATCAAGATCTTGTTCGCTCAATGCGATTATTTTCAGATAATTTATAATACACAGCCTGAAAGACCTGAAACCCTAAAGCCGTCGAGGTGGAAAATTGTTTCTTTGAATTTGATAAATGAAAGAAGGGGAAAGATGAAATATAATTGTTTTCCAACTCGTAGAGGAAAATATGCTCATACTTGAAGGAATTTTTGCAGCTTTTTGCGATCTTTTATACAGACTTGATTGAACAAAAGATCCAAAAGCGTGGTTGCGCAATTTCAGTTAACAATTATAATCTCCTCCGGCATTCATTCAACTCTTCCAAATTTTTTTATATGTCTCCTCCTTTGCTTAGGAAAACTGTTTGTCCCTCGGTAATCGAAATTAATGCTTATAGAAACATGGTTTTGAAAGGCAAACAAAATGCTCCAGTAAAGTTGTCTTAATAGTAAATAACATTTTTCTAGCCATATGAATAAAGGGGGTAAGTATCTGAAGAAACTGTACGTGGTGTTGCGTCGGTGGGAGAGTATTAAAGGTTAATTGGATATCATTAACTGAGTTGATAACATCTATTGGCCACCGTAAAGAGTTTCAAAGCTGAAGTTTCGATCGTTAGCCCCTCGTCAGAGCTGATGATGAACGCTCGAAACGTCAACTTTGAAACGCTGGCCAATTTACATTATCAACTCAGTTGATAAAACCAGAGTACCTTGTTTTTCTCGCCTTAAACAGGTATCTTTAAAGAGACATGATCTAAAGCTCAATGTCTAAAGCTCAGTCTCAAAGCCATTGCTTACAATTCTGTCCCTTTGTGCTTGAGTTGTCATAGAAGTTTCATTGATGAATTTGTCCACAATTTTTGAAACCTTTTCCTTCATAACCCTTTCTCGCATTTTTTTCTGCCATTCTCCATCAATGTACATGTCTACGATCTTGGGAAACGCGAAAGTGAAAAACGCTAACAAAGTTTTCATCAAAGGCGTCGTGTCAAAGCTGGACGCTGTCACCCATGAAAACACAGTAAACACAGTAGAAACGATCATTGTGATCTTCAAAATTAATTTATAGACACCCTCCCTGAGAGGCAAAAGTTCTTCACATGCCATTCCGAAGAGTTCTTTTGGAATTGCCATCACGTTATCAAGATCGCGTGTATTGTTAGGTAGTTCTGGCAGCTGATCAGAGGTGGAAGGGACATCTCGAAATTGGGTTCTTTTTGAGTCCTTGTGGCAATCGTATAAAGTCAGGGCAAGCTCGTGGTATGTTTCTGTAAAAGAGCTGTAGCTTGACCAAATGTAATACAAGACAGAAACGAAACAAGCCACGTAAGGAAGATGTTCCTCTGAGAGAGAGAGAAGGAAAACACGTACTAAAACATTCTGAGCACCACGAGCTGCTAATCCCAAAAGAACAACGGCACCAATCCATGAAATAATTAGGAAGAGGTGATTATGAATTAATATGAATAATAGCATCAACATTTTTGAATTTGGAGGCAGTCTCGGTATGAATTGATACGTAAATAAGGAAGTTACAGGAGAAGTTAAAAAACCTACATAAATAAATAACACTGCTGCCAAAACGGGTATACAGGGCAACAGAGAGATAAATAATACAAGACGAATCGCAAAATCTTTAGAGCATCTGTAGGAAGGAATCACCGTGACAGACATTTTGAAATAATTTAGGATATCGGATTTGCCAATCCTCCAATATTCTGCCAAGATCAAAGGCTGGAGGCGCAAATGGTATGTAATAAACTGAGGAAGTTTATCGTGACGGGAAAGGATTTCTAGCCCAAAATGATCACAAATGAAACAAGACTTTGCTATTGATGACCTTTTCGAGAAAAATGACCAGTGAAAAGCCTGAAAACAATAGCAAAAACCGAACGTTATGAATAAAATAGTTGAAAGAGTATTAACTTCAAAATCGGCAAAGACGGTTGCAATGACAATAAACGGAAGAGGTATGATAACAACTCTCAAAATGAATGTTTTTGCCTTGCACCAAATTCCCTCTTTTACAGAAAAGAAATAATTTCCCGCAAAGCTCCTGAGACTAACGGGACTTGCTCCCTCAATAATTATATGAGTAACGCCATCTTGCAAGATTTCCGTCGGGTAGAGCAGACAAAGAAAGGCCAGAGAGTAATATGCAAAAACATAGAGGAATACATCAGAGAATAAATCCAACACCATCTTTGGCCATCTCCTGAGATCCAAAGCTCCTTGAAGTCGTTTAGTGCTGTTCGTCCTGTCTGGTATGGTAAAATTCATGCACAGTCCATGAGGATCTGTTTCCACAGCGTGAAAATCGATGCTTTCAAATTCATGTTCTAAGTTAATAAGATGACAAATGGCAGAAGAACGGTTGCTGTAGTCCATAGGGCTGGAAACAATCGTCCTCACTGGTTTCAAAGTACAAATGGCACGTATTTCTCTGTGTTCTTTGCGAAGAAATGTATTTATCGCGCTTTTATTCGATGTCATTGAGTTAGAGAGTAGTTTGTTTACCAAACAGACTTGACAATGTTCAGAAGAGGATTCGTTTGAGTTAACAGACATCTTGTTCGTGCATTTGTCGTCTATTAGCTTCTCGTACTGTACGCTAAGCTTGATTAATTTGTTGTTCGCTGTTGTTGAATTCGCCATTTCTCTTTTAAGCATCGTTAGATCAGCCATGTGGACAAAACAATTCCACTTACATCGTATTTCACTGCCGGGGCTGTTACGGTAGCTTGGCGAGTTGTCCACGACATGACCCAGAGTAGCTATCAAAACCACAAAACGAATTTGAAAAGTTGACGGCATCCTCAAGGATTGATAGATGTGTACAATCGTCTAAATAAGACTTTTTTCTCCTTCAAACAAACGCCGTGTTGATTTGCAAGGTTTGCAGTGACTGCACAAGCGGATGAATTCGCCGAGTAAGCAATATTTTTCGCTCGCTTGCGTTTTGATAGATGTTCACGCGATGGTTAAATTTAGAAATTGAAACTGAAAGTCAAATAGAATGACCGGAAGCAAATGGGCTGATGGGAACGGTTTCAGATAACTAAGAGTGGACGGGATAATTTCTGAAGTTGCGTATATGTTGGAAGGCTCCTGCAAATGGTATTATGTAAATTAAAACAGAACGTGGATTAGTCGAACTTTTTTATTTAATGGAATTGTTAAAATGGGTTAAATCTAAGTTTGTTGTGATCCTAAAAGAGTGGAATTCAGGATAAAAACAGAATCACATTTAACAACGAAATTTATAAACTAAAAATGAAAGAAAGGGCAAGATAAAAAGGTGAATGTGCTTGTTACCCAACTTGTGGTTGAAAAATCCTCATGCCTGGAGGAATCTTTGGAGCTGGTTTATCGCTGCATGGGCACTTAAATTTATCAACATTTTTGCATTCCTTTTTGCGGTCTTTCAGATGGTAAAATCTTCTATTTCTGTCATTGGTGCATTCTATGTGTAAAGAAAGTCATGATAAAACTGTTGCTTAATTCAAAGAAATATATAAAAAAAAAAAACTTCATATAAATGACACAATATTTTTTTCGTGATTCCAAGGTACAGTTTCACAAATCAAAGAAAACAACCTATAATATAATTTAAAATTAGCAAGTAATGTTCTTTCTTTGAAAACCTTACATCAAAGATGGTTAATATTTGGTTTAATAGAAGAAGATAATTTAAAAATAAGTAGCTTAACGTCAGAAATGTGTTATTTGATCACAAAATTTTTGACAATGTTTAACTTATGTGACCCATATCCCCATCTTTTATCAACTAGAAGAATTGTTCGAAAGAAGCCATCCTCACGTATAATACTGCGAAGACGAGTGTTAATTTTTTTTAAATTCTAATATTTCATGATGCATACCTTTTCTTTTGTTATTCAACAACCTTTATTTAACTTACTACCCTCTTGAATATTAACTAACTGAAAGTCCGGGGAGGGCTTGATAATGTAGCAGGGAAGAGCTGATGAATTGAGTTTGATTGTAAATGAGGGATTTATCTGTATAGATCCCTCATTTCAGGAGTTTATACAAATAAATACCTGAAGCGAAGAATTTATTAGAATTTCTTCATACTAATCCCTCATCAATTATTTACTTTCCAATTACTCAGTTGATCCTTGCTCTTCCTTAGAGCATCAAATTCTTCCTCTTAACAAATTTCGGCTTAAATTTCCGACAAATGTACTTGGCTACAAACAATATAGACAGAAAATAAATATTTCTTTTCAATTAAGTTTCCAGTCTTTCGAGATTATAAAGGTACACTGATTGAACGTTACAGGTTTGGTTTCAGGAATTCCAGTTTCATCACCACCCTTAGAAAATTTGCTAGTGATTTCTTCTTGCAGCTCGACTTCACGCTTTAATGGCGCCTTTTCACTAACAATGGAATCAGACAGTGACACGGCTTCACTACCATCGAAAGCTTTTGAAAACTCAATCTTAGTTGAAGTTTCCGGGAGTTCATATTTTTGCAAAGACCTATCATCTCTTTGCCCGGTACGCTGCATAACAAACTTAGCTGGAATTCCCTTTTTCAGTGCTCGAGTTTTTGTTGTTGCACGGGGGCTGTGCTTGGTGAATTGGCCCTCGATTTCTTCGACTTTGCAAAGCCTTTTCACAGTTCCTTCAAGCATGTTATGACCCACTGCAGAATTTCCATACCAAAATGCAAAATAAAAAAAGAGCACATTTCTTTTCAGAGCTAATTTTTTGGGGGGTTGTCGCCCAACCCCCCCCAACAACCCCACCTCAATCAAAAATCTAATGGTCCGTCCCTAAGATGCTATCAGACCCTACAACTTTTTATGTGATGAAAAAATTTGAATATATATGTATTACTCGCGTTGTTTTTTTTTTATATTACCGAGCGAATTTCAAGTGATAATTTCAGGAAGTAAGAAGCAACAACAAAAGGATTCCTATCAAAGCGAGGTGCCATTTTCAGTCATACTTGGTCGGACACCTCAAAAACAAAGGGTGACACACAAGCAGTTTACTAATTACTGCAAATTTGACATGAAAATAATTCTGATGCCTCTTTGAAAAGAAAAAAAGGCTTGAACAGTAGATATCGCAAGATCTTTGGCTATGTTACAAAAGAATACTCAATACACTAGAAGTGCACACATCGAGTTCTGAATGCACTTGAATAGTCTGTTTAACAAATGCAGACGTACTGTTATTTTAATCCCCACCAAATTATGTCAAGACGAACAAAACAAAAAAAAGTACAGCTTTGTCAAGCATAAAAATCTGACAGATCAGTGCTTTAAAGTTTTTATAAGTAAATAACTAATTCACGTGAATTTTATGAGGTAAGATTGACAGCTTGTAGTTGGCAAATCACACCTTTTGTTTTTATATGCTGACAAGGTGGGAGGGGGAGGAGGCGATCGGAAATGGGTGAGGATGTTTGTCGTGAGGATGCATCAGACATCAGTTGTTGTTACTCCCACACGGATAAGACTCAGGTACCTTTTATAATTATTTCATCTTATGTATAGGGGTTTCCCGAGGGATGCTGATACGTGTAGCGCACTTGAAATTTAGCAAGGACAAACTTTGATGTGATTTTCGGTGAAGAGAAAAAAGTTTTGTCAGTGTCTGGTAGCTAGTGTGGAAAGGCCCTTTACCACTGTGTGCATAATTACGCGTCCCGCCAGACGGCGGGAAGCCCACCAAGTGTTCAGACATTAGTATTGAAAACTTCGCTTCTGTCTGAATTTTTTGTAACCTATTGACCAATTCCCAATCGAGACCTAAGTATGACGGGACTCATAAATTTTTCACAAGGTGGTAAGTAGCCAGGTTAAATGAATTTTCCAGACATCTTGCGTAGTATCTGTGGTACACGCTTTCCAATTTCCCAATCGGCCTTTGGAATCGACGTAACCCTACCTTTAACAAGGCCGTACACTTCTTTAGGCACTCTACATCTACTAATGGAATCACCGAGATTTGATCTATGAGTAGGGAAAATTGTGAAATCATCGGTATCTTTTGGCGTCTCGAAGATGCCGGCACGCGACAAAATAAGATCAACTTCAGTTTCTGGATCTCCGCAAGTGACTTGAAATGTCTTTTTTACAACTACGCAAGGGAACGACCTGAGATATGCAACGTCGGTCTTCTCGATAACTAAATGAACAGCAAATCTCCATGTTAGCATATAAGCTGAGACGCTTATACAGCAGATCAATTAGCTAGATCAGTATGTAGCTTGTGTTATGTTAGATTTTTTTTGACAAATTGTAGGGGTTCATGCCAATAAACGGTGGCGACAAGTAGGCACACCATGTATATTTCATAGTCGCTAGCAAGAGAATTTTTCCGGACTTTGAGTTCGTCTCACGATAGAACAACACAAATACAGAAGGAAATCTTTACAGTAACTTTATAACCATCCTTTTGTCTTTTAAAAGTTAGAAGCTCAGTAGATTCTGTCATATCGAACGAAAAAAATAATTTCTCGGAAACTAAAATATATTTTCACAAAAAAATACACCACAATTATCAGAACATATTAGGCTTCAAAATATGAAAGTAGGAGAGAAAACAAATTTTGGGCGACTTGCCAAAAAATTTCAAATTTGTTCGATGGATGCTGACATCCTCTCTTAAGCCACTTTATTTGCTAAAACTCTGTTCGTTTGTTGCGTTATCGACTTACCATGATCTGAATGCTTAAATACGCGTTTTGGAGTTAAGTATAACACATTTTTCGCCATCGCCAACTCAGGACACTCGGATACATATTCCTTATACAGCTGAAATAAAAAGCGTTCAGATGTACCGCTGGTTGCATAGTCTTCGATTCGCTTTTACTTGAAGGATGGATGCTTTAATCCGCTAAACCAGTTTTTCTGGCTCCTTCTCGTTTGCTGGCTCTAAAGTGAGTTAAATGAATTTTAAGTTACGGTGCTCTTTTCCGCTTCGAAGGGAAAAGTTTTTTCAGTTAGAAAAACCATGGTATCCAACAGAACTCTCGGTAACGAGTCTCCTAACAGCCCGAGATTCCAAAGCTTGTTTCCTTCATCTTCTGAGAAAGCCTGTGCTTCTTTTACATTCGATTCTATACCCATGCCAGTTAAACGTTTCATCTTGGCGTCTAGACAGTCCTGAAAGTGCTCAAATGAGGGATCGAGGAGGAGTTTATTTCAGGCTGACCATTGTCTCGCATGTGTCGCTGAAGATCACAGCAAAGTTGATAAAGAGTGTCTGGCGGGTAAACAGTACCTGGATCCTTTTTCTTACGAACTTCTACAACCAATTTTCTCAGCCAAAAATTAAGTTCCTCGTTGTCAGTGATATTGAGAATATCAGGATTGACTTGGAGAAGTGTAATTCTACTTTCACCTTTGATTGCGATCATTCTGTTTCGCTCCACTGCCCATTCAGACCAGGTACGAACTGCCCACGATGTACTTATTCTTGTATTTGGCGGTATTCGAGATTCCTTCCTCTTCTCAAGTTCTTCATCGTCGACGATCAAAATCTTCCTTACTGCTTCTGGGAAATCCGATGGGTCCGTCCGTCCATGCTTGATGCTTTCCTCAGTCACTACTTGCTTTAATTCTTCCACACACGAATTTCGTGGAGCAGGCTCATCACTAGCTACCAAGCCGTCTAAAACAGAATCAATACGTCGGTATTAATCCAGAGACATCCCTCGGCCCTACCGCCCTCGGGATGTATATGAATTATTACCTCCGTTTTCGGTATTTATCTCTTACTTAAAACTACAAGAAGCAGTGTTCTTTTAACAGAATTAAAGGCAAGATAACAAGGTG